TCATTTTTCGACTGCGCATGACCGGGCCTATGGGGGCCAGATCGGAATTAGCCTTACTTTGAGGGGTTGAGAAGGAGGGGGGGTAGCACCCCCCCAATTATCACCACACCCGTGCCCCCGTTTATTCTGTCCTGTCCCTCTCCGGCGCCCTGAGTGCCCCGGGTGATGTCTCGGTTTCGTGTTTTTTTGAGGACGCGTGGTAAATCCGTGCTGGCGGCGGGGATACTCACGAGCGGAGGTAGAGGCTAAGCCTCCGCGGAATCATCCCCCCGCACATCATCGACCACTTTTATTCCATTTTTTTCCATCACTTTAAATCAGCGCTCACAGCACTACTACTGCTGTAGACGTTTATAGGACTGAAGCAAGTAGGTTTTGGTCGTTTTGAAAAATATTGGGGAAGGGGGGTAGGTGTTTCACTGTTTGGCGGGGCGTCAATGATGATTGGTGCTCAAATACGCCCGGGGTGTTGAAGTGTGCCGCAATTTTTCTTGTGTCACTCACAGACTGTTGGCTGATGTTTTTTTACTTTTGCTTTTTCGACATGCACCCGAGTGGTAGTATGTCTGCACTAAGCGGGCTACGGACCCGCCGGGGCACAAGTGTATCTCCTGCACGATTGTTATTATTGCCCGGGCGGTGAGTTGTACCGAGGGGGTGCCTCGACGATAGAGCGGGCGCTCCCTCCAACGCAATCCAGCACGCGCGAATGAAACACCCACGTGATCGATGGTCATCCGTAGCGCACATATTACGTTGTGGGCATATGCGTGCATTCCACTCTTTTTTCATAATCGTGTGCTGCCCTCTGTTCAATAAGTCTCGAGCGGTGCTTTCCTCGTCTGTTTTTTGTCGCTGCTCGCACGCATCCACGCGGGGGCGGTTACGCGGTGACGGGCGCGCGCGCGGGGGGGGGGGGGTTCAGCTCTGGGCTGTGGCCCTTCGCTTCGGTGGGCTGGCCCCAGGAGGAAGGCAATGACGGGGGAGACCTCTCGAACTTTTATCCCGCGGCGTGTCTGGAGACTGGATACGACATCATCTTCTTCTGGGTGGCGAGGTACGGGGGGGGCGCTGGATGGGGTTACAGGGGGGGGTATGGCTTGCGCGTCGCCCGTGGAGAAGTCAATAACTTATCTTAAAGACGTGTCCTGTGTTGTCGGAGACAGGGGTAAGGAAAGGAGGGTGGTGGAGAGGGAGGGGGGGGGGG